GGTCCACATATACAACTATTAGGGATTTAGGCCCCGAAATACCATACTATGCAAGGAATTACGGGTCCCAATTCCCTAATGGTTGTATATGTCGACCCTCTGGGTCAGGGCACCTTGATGTCGGAAGGAAGCCGCTCATCTGAGAATGCAGGTCTATATCAACTGAACCCTATAGACACTAAACGCGCCCGCATAATCCTTAAAACGTATAATCCATGAAGCCAATTTGTGAGAGCCAACGTCCCCAGACACAGCTTTCATAGCGGAATGGCCCCCTTTATCTGTACAAGAACCATGCAATGCCAGCAAAGGCTTGTAACCTAGAGGGTCAAGTACCCAAATTAAGGAGCATTAGGTCACGAATGGTATCATCCAAATGGTTACGGCACCGGAAGCCGTAGGATTTGGGTACTTGGACCCTGAGGGCATTATCCGTGTAGACCCAGTGACTCACAGACTCAACATTGCGCATGTCAATTCAGCATCGTCAACTACAACAACCAAAGCCCAAGCACGAAGGCCCTGAAACGCTAAACCCTACTCTACACCCTCGATGGAACCTCAAGTCCTGACCGCAACGACCCTGAACCCCGATTTTCCGCCTCCAGTGAAATCTCACCTAATAATAGACTAACCCTACACAGGCCAGGGCTTAGGTTACGAATGCCAACAAATGCTCAGCTACAAGACCATTGACACTGCGCCTGTGATTCTGAAGCCCTGATCTGCGTCTGTCTTTGCCAGCACCTGAACCCCTGTACTAGGTTTATGGGTTTAGGGTGTAAGGCTGAAATCCCCTACCACAAACACATAAGCCCATAGGGTCAAAGGCCCAAAAGTATGCACAAAACCTGCGAACCCTTCCGACACAAAAGCTCGACTGACAGACCCAAACCCTGACACCTTAAACGAAACTAGCATACCCCCAATATAGAACGCCAAGAACGCAATCTGTACGCCTGAACAATTACCAAGGTCATTTTGAGGTCCATTTGAAGTACCCTGTATTGTAATCATACAGGGAAGATAACACCATAATATTCGCATGAGGCCCCTACAGAAATGTTCATAGACCTCACACAGAGATAATCATGCCAACCCGGCTTCGGCATCCATGAGACCAGCAGCCATGCTCAGTTGGGAAGGCTTGGCCATTGCTGCTGAAGAGGCCACAGTTATAGCAGAAGCAACAGCAAGATCAACAACAGGCACAAACGTCTCGCGCATGGTCCTCCTGAAATGAAAATGATAACCAACAACTGTTCTTATGGTTATAAATGGTTTCGCGAAAAGGCGTTTGAATGGACAAAACAATGTTTTGGGTCGAACCGCATTTCTGATTTGGGCAAAAGCCTGGCTCAGAGGGTTGTTGAGCTGCGGCAGAACAGATGGCTTCAGGTTGGCGACCCCAAGAAAGGGGTTTAGATCAGAACTTCTCAGCAAGGAATGTTTCATCCTCCAATACACTTTCCCGTTTTCTTTCATTATGTTCAGCACACCGAAAATTAGGGTGACTCCGTAAGTATAACCATTATGGCTACACAATAAGCCAAACATCCCCATGATCCTACTGAGAAAGGCCCCGTTTCCGAGTAACTCAGGTGGTAGCTCTGCCTGTCTTCCGGACCTGTTGTTTTAGCCCGTGCTTGCATACCCAGAAATATTTGGAGAGTTCCCACAATTTGGGGTACCTCTTTTGGGGAGGCCTATACTAAGGGTCCCACTATCTATGGAAACTCTCACATGAGAATAACGGCCTTTTGGCTAGTTGTAAGGCTTTCTGATCTCGGACCCTGATTTTATCTACGTTTGTGTTCCAGGTGTTGTTGATACTAAACATCATGCATGACCATAAGTGCTCCAGATTTAGGAAATGAGAGTAGTTCAGTATCCTAAGTTCATGCAGAATATCTGGTATCATATGTTGCGGACTTACGTTGCCTAACAGTGCTGCTCCAGCATGAGCATAAGCACGCAGCAAACAGGGTACGATGGGCGTTGCTCTTTAGGATTAGCCACAGGGTCCAGGTGCTGGGTAACATCTTTTTTTTGTACAGGTTTTGGGCCAGTATATGGTTATCAGGTACTTGGACCCTTAGGGTCAGTTTTGGGGTTTGATTAGGCTTAAGTTTTAGGGATGGTTGGATGGCTTGCTAAATGGAGACAGCCTGAACCTCAAACCAGGAACCCTAAATCTGAAGCCCTGAACTCTAAACCTAAGCTGAAACACCCAATCCTACTGTTGACACTAAAACTCCTGCATGACCGTAGTGTCTACGGAGTCCTCATTGGCTTGCTTGCCGCTGATTTGCAACGGAAAGCTGATCATGAGCATGGTCCATACATATATATATATATATCTATCTCTCTCTCTCTCTCTCCTCCTTGATACCCTACAACCCTGCCCTCATTCCCTAGCACAATAACCAACAGCAACCCTAAACCCTACAGCCCTACACTCTAAACCCTAAATAAACCCTTCGATGCCCTGAGGAGCTAGCTTCCCCCTTGCTCCACACAGAGCGCTGCATCCTGTGCGTTTACTGCGGAAAGTGCTTTCAAGTTTTTCGCTCAAGTTTTTTGCTCTCAAGTTAGGCTGGGCAGGTTCTGGGATTTAGGGGTGTTTAGGGTTTGGGCTTTAGGGTTTAGGCGTTAGGGACAAAAACGGGGGAGTTAGGGGATTGGGGAAACGAGTCCAGTAGCTTGGGCGGCCTACACAAGGATCAGCGTGTGTAGCCTTGAGCTCAGAAGCTTGCTTGCGAATCTACAATTACGCCAGTTTGGGTTGTTACTAGACTTGCGGTTTAGAGTTTAGGGTTGATTGTGGCAAATCTGCGAACGCCCTTTAAGAACTACAGAGGGCACACCCCACTCCTTGTTGGAGACTTTGATACCTTACAAGTGAAGCGGGGCCTTAATTTACAATATATTGGGATTGTATTCCCTAATTCCCCACTTATTCGTAACTATGTCCATCATGGATACTAGGGCTTCAGAACCTTTGACGCCTTGCCGTGGAGATCCTCAAATCCTTATGCAACATGCTGGCAAACATGGCTACAAGCTTTGCACAGGGTAAGGGTCATCGGAGAACTAGCTGTCAGGGCTATACTACGCTGTATGGGCCCTAAACCCTAAACCCGATGTTTTTGGGAAATATCCCTCCTTGGCAGCAAGGCTAGTTCTCAGCTCACCTTTCAACAGAAGATGTTAGGTGGACCCCCCCACCCAGTAATAGTGACTAAAAGGGATAATAGGGATTATGTTAAGGTCCTCGTATATTCCTAGTATACCACTTTTACAGGGTGGGGGTCCTCCTAAAGAAGATGTGTTGTAGTCTGTTAGGGTCCTAGTTTGGGGGCTTGGGGCTGTCTGAAATCATTTATGGAGGGGTTCCCAAAATCAAGGGGTACCGTCTTGGGGGGTCCTCATAATGAGGATTGTAATATTCTGAGGTACAGACTCGGGTCCCCCCATTTTTGGGAAAACTACCTTATCAACCTTGTAGCGATGAGACTCCATACTTGATACAATGGATTTAGGGTTTAGGGTTCAGGGTTCCTGAGGGTCCAAGCACCCCAAAATCATATACTTACCCAAAACCTGTACTATGATTGCTATTACCCTAAAACCCAAGTACCTAATTACTGGGTACTTGGACCTCTGAAAATGTGTGCAGCTTGCTGGACAAGGGCTAGCCTCTGGGAATGCTTCAGCTTCGTTGAGACTAGGCCCAACCTTAGACCTAAAAGATCTTCAGTTTCAGGACCCGTGTTACAATTCTTTATATGAAATCCTAAAACTGAAGGTCTTCGGGGTCTAAGGAATACCCTACTTAAGCCTGCTTGGAAGCTCATGGAGAAAAAAATATGTAACCCTGTGGGTCCAAGTACCCAAAGATTGGGCTTTGAAGCACCATTATTTGGGTACTTGGACTACCCTAAATCCTGAGCCCTACACTTTCCGAAACTCTAAGCTTTGTTGTTTGGGTCCTTGGACTACCCTAAATCCTAAACCCTAATTCCTAAACTCCATGCCTTGTTATTTGGGTCCTTGGACCCTCAAATCACGTAGGGCTGTAGTCCCCCTTAAGTAGATAGAACATGGGGTAGATGGGGATCTTACTATAACACACCCAACGCCATATTCCATCTACTTAAGCGTGCCAATGTACATATATATATATATATGTCCTGGGCTGCTGTTAAGGAACTTAACTACACTACCATAGTAAGAAAGCCCTACTTTTTCTAATATCTCTATCATGGTAACTTAACTTACGCGCCTGAACAGCAACCCAGACAAATGACCTTTAACTTTGAGAAACGACCCT